CAATTCAGATCATGTTAGCAAAATGTTATTTTCTAATAACTTCAATGTACACAATGTAATGCCTCAAAATAAATACAAGTTGAAATAAATAATATTCATTTTATCTGAGGTATAATTTGCAAGATATATGCATCATTCAACGCGTTTCGTTATTTTTAGTGCTCATTTTGATCGATTGTTTTTGAGTAAAACTCCAATTTACTGATAGTACAGTTGGTTTAGAAACTGAGTACAAAATCAAAAGCCTGGTATCTTTGATGACTTTTTTTTATATAATATTTGCATCTATAATAATATATATTTATTTCATAAAAATAACACTTGATTAATTTAGTGCATCCGAAAAGTTTTTCTGGATTTACACAGAAAAAAAAGCTTAAACCAAAACAATTCAAAGCCAAGGATGTATGAAAATAAACACGTTAAGAGCTAATGACCTAAAGTGATCTAAACAAAAAGCAAAATGCATCAACTTTGACATATGAGTTTGAATGTTCCATGATATCTTTCGCTTTTGCTTTTGTCTGATGCAGTTGGAACCTTTGCAGTTTGATAATTTCTAATTTTTTTAACAGATAATTTAAGAGAGATTTGTTATAAATCATGTAAGTACCGAAGTACTGACTATTTGGTTGATGATAGTCTCTGAAAATAATAGTCCACCAGCAGTGGTATCGACCAAGTGCTATTAAATGAAATTAATACTTTATTGATTTCGTGCATCCGTAGTGCTTTTCATGATTTTCCTTTAGCAGGCACGCTTATCCAAAACTTTTGAAAGCCGATGATGCATGAGAGCTACGTGAAGCTATTGCCAACGAACTATTCATCCATTTTCTGTGAACATTAGAATCAAAAAGGTCTATAAAAAATATACAAACAGTCAAAAAATGACTTTTTTGTATCGCCTTACATATATATCCATATGTGAATAAAATATGTCGTTTGAGGTTTCCAAATACATGACATGTCCATGATATTTTCTAAAAATATATATTTACATGTTTGCACAATAGGATTTTCTGTTAATAGAATGTTGTCAGGCAGAATCCTATAAGCACAAAACGTAACATGTCAGAAAACTGTGCACTGAATGTAGCCCTACTTCAATTCAAACTTTATAGTTATGGCGGGAAAATATTCTATTTAAAGATTATAAAGGTAAATTTATGTACATCCGGCTTTAGGTCGATTAGGATCGTCAACTTTATTGTATTGCTTACGTAAAATAATAAATATAAGGTTTCAGGAAGTATTTCAGCGTGTATCGATGTGAAATTTAGAAAAGAAAACAATATTGATAAATAAAGGTAAGTCATCTGCGTTTACATATAAAATAAGGTAAACACATTTTATCAAAGCTACAAAAACGAGATTGGAAATACAAATAGACATGTTTATAAATATAAATTAATATTGGTTGTAACATAAAGTCCTTCATTATATTATATTTCCTGTTTGATTTCTAGTTATGTATAGGGTCCAATCCGTATACAGTTATTATTGATAATTAAGCAAGGAACGCATTTTGAATTCATGTGGATTCTGCTATGTAAACGTCTCCTTCTCACTATCTTTTATTTGATATCATTACATTTTGGCTGTTCTTTACTACCTTTGAACATAAAATACCATTTCCTGACTCAAAGTATGAGGTGTGAACATTAATGAAAAAGGTATCAAGAAAACAACTTCTCAATCTGACAATTCTTTATATTTGGATAAAATTATTATAAATGAATGACCAATATGTAGCAACTTCTTACTCTTACATAATGTTATAGACACATGCCTGAGGACCTTTTAGTAGCGTTGTGAAAATCAACAATGAAATTGAATATAGATATATACAAGTCACAAGACTTATCATGTTAAATCATCTTAGAAAGGTTGTGTATCTTTAAACGTACTCATTGGTCATCTCAAAGGAAAAGGATGCGAGCGATGAATTTTCAGAACAGACGAATTTTCTGGTGTCATAAAATCTAAGGCCGGAAAACTTGTCATGAGTTAAGACTCAGAAACATCGGTCAACGAACTCGTGATGATGACCGTAAAACCTATGTTTTGTCAAATTTAGTCGTTCTTCCTAATAGGGACAAACATTTAATTTTATGGGTAATTTTTGCAGTAGAAATATTCTTTTAAACCTATTACTGGATACACATGGATAGTTAATAATTAAAGTCCATAAATAACAAGAACAGCATGAAGAACCTATCAAAATGCATAACTGAATTTAAATCTGTGATAATAAGTATATCTTATATTCTTACTATGCATTTCTGGAATATGCTTTATTAATTATGAATATTTGATTTTCCCAAAAATGTTTAATAGAAAAGTAGTAGACTAGATAACCAATATGTCAATACGTTTATTACATTATAATTGCAAATAGTTTGTAGGAATATACACTACAATACACTGAGACAAGTATACAAAAGTACATGTAGATTATTGAAATATTCTGTACTTAATACGCTTGATAAATTGCCTTAACAGAATGTGGTCAAGTTTGTCATCTGGTACTTCGAAATGAAACTAGATTCAATTTTAAAATAATATAAACTACAATTAGTCGAACAATGAAGTCAAAACTGACACGACACAAGACAAAAAAAAATAACATGTTAATGGGACCAGGTTTTATACTTGTAGTATGTGTCAGTTATTTCTAGTACTCTAATTCAAGTGTACCAAATAATACGAAAATATAAAGTAAACAATTTTTTTGTAAGTGAATAATGAAAATACTATCACTGTTTGAATTTATAAAATCATGAAACTGAGGAATTGTATTAAAACTAAAAAATACAGTTCTTTATCAGTAGTTCAAATATAACTTAAATAACTATACTGCAGTATATGACAATTACACAAACAATTATTTAACAATGAATATCATGATATACAAAAAGACAAACATTTTCATAAATCTATTACTCATGCTCTGTCACACAAAACAGAGTAAAAACTGTGAAAGTACCTGATAATTGTAAAAAATGAAAACAAAACGTTATAAATTTAATGCGTCCGTGATATTTCATAAAGGTTTGTTATAAATTATGTCATTACCGAAGAACTAACTTCTGACATGAAGATACCATCGGGAACTGAACGTCCACCAGCAGGGGTATCGACACAGTGCTGTTAAAAAATGAAAACAACACGTTATAAGTTTCATGCGACCGAACCTGTCATAAAAATATAATTACAATATCTTCGATTTGTTTTATTACTAAATATGTCTAAACTATCCGTATACAAAGAACCTTCTGACTGTAATAGATTGGGGCGGGAAAGGAAAACTATTCCCAACCAGAAAACAAAAGAGTCCAGAAATATCCGACCAATAAAAGTCTCAAACAAGACACAGTTAGGATTTTCGAAGTGATGATTTTAATGGTAAGAATGTACAAAGGGTACAACCAAAATCATAAGACGAAGAAGCTAGTAGCAATGAAGAACGACACTTGTAAAAAAAAATACAAATAAAGAGTCAAGAAAACAGAACTAAGACAACACAATATTAAGTAAAACGAGCCCCACCAAATATCAGTTGTGAACGCAGTCACACCGTACTGTTACGTAGAATAATAATTATCTTTAGAGAAGTTGCATTTTATGACATTCTTAAATCCAGGAAATGATTACGGAAATGTGGCTATGTCAAAAAGAAGATATTTTCAGTAATGGCCAACTAAAGTCATGATGGGGTCCTTAAATATAAAGAAAGCCTATCGGTGATTAGCCATTTCCATAATTACAAATATATGACAGAAATGGGAGTAAAAAAGTCTAGTAACAAAGCTTCCAAGCATGACATCGACAGTATAAGCGTCTCCTGCAAATACTGCAAAACATTTACCAAACTTTCCATTTAGCATCGTATCAGCTCTAAGAAAGATACTTCATGTGGAAATACTGCTTGCATCTTATAACTTGAAAATGGGAAGTATATCAATGAAAAATCTTTGGCATCTTTACTGACGTAAAGTTAAGTCCTTGACCAATTCACTGTACAAGTTGTAAGTGAAGTAGAAACATGCAAGAGTCATGACAGGAGACATGTGAAAGTCGGTTATTAACTCTGATTGAAGGTCATATATATCTTGAATCTATGACAGAGTCGTACATGTGCCTACTAAGACGAGTCACTGAAACTCAAATACGGTCAACTAATTCGTAATTGTCATTTTCAAATAACTTTTGACGCCCACTAATTACACCCCAAGTATACAGATGAAATGGAGAGGACGTATCAAACATAAAAATCATTAAGGTTTAATATTGCATATACTTATCGTTTTAACATTATTATACTATTTTGAAAAACGGGTAGTTGGTTTTGTTTGTCTCTCTCCCTCTCTCTCTCTCTCTCTCTCTCTCTCTCTCTCTCCTTCTCTCTCTCTCTCTCTCTGTCTCTCTCTCTCTCTGATATAATACGACATTACACGCTGTAAAAAATTATATAAAAAATCAAATAAATAATTACCGCAATCTTTTCACAACCGAATGATTTCTTATCTACAGTTATATGATTATGAATATTGAGATGTGCGAGTCTATGCAGTTTATGCATCACGTGTCAATAGTTATTAACCCGTTTTGGGAATGCTTTTAGCGTAATGGCGTTTCTGGGGGGATATTGTTACATTACTGTCTAGCCGTCAGTAACAGACGTGCGGATACTGTGCACACTGTATGTACACATTACTATAGGAAAAGATAAAAACCTATTGATTTTGAAAGGTCAAACGACAAGTTTACATTGCTTTGTTCTTGCGAGGGACTTTTCAGCTTCTGTGTATCCTCTTTAAAGTTGAAATACTTCCTTAATGGATTGGAAACAATTCGGAATCAACTATCTTTTCCTATGTAGCAATATACAAGCAGCGTCTGCGTTTGGAGTTTATATCTCTCAACTCATACGTAACAAGAAATCTAATTGCATTACAGAGACTTATTGAACAGGGCAAAACTGCTGCCCGAAACAGGGGTTTGTTGTCACACAATTGAGGTAATCCCTTTATAAGTTTTTTGGACGTCAGAACGAGCAGGGTGAACGGTGATAAGAATAGTACCCAATTATTCACATTGATGTATCAAATCGTTAGAAATGCTTCGCAATATTACCAAGAAGACTGTGTTCTCATAGAAGATAAAATAAACCCCAAATCACCATCCTTAGATAACTTCCTTTACGATACCTGAAATAAATCCTTAACCCGAACATTTGAAGGGAAGTTCTGAAATTAATAGTATTGTCATTGTTAAGTTGAACATTCAATTGATGAAATAACAATTATACAGAAATGGGTACATTATGGAGGCACACGCGGCCAAAATTAACAGACATTGCGGAGACAATTGCCACCCTTTTCAAAAGACGTAAATAGTAGTTTGATTAAGTATAAATGTTTAAATAAATACAGGTTATTTTCTATTTTCCCAATTTCAACAAGGAAGATAGAAGCTCATCTTTCAAAAAGACATTGAGATCCCGGCCTTTTATTCATACTCAATTTGAAAATGAAAGTTAACTTTAATCAACAAATGTTTTAAAAGCATAAACATAACGAGGAAAATATCGTAGTGGTAAGTACAACAGATATACAGGCAAAGCTAGCTAGTTAACTACTTGTATTAATGATCACTATATATTTTCTGTTTTTGAGACGACCCCTTACATTATACACACTTTTACCTGTCGGTGTCGTAATCAACTGTAGGTGTAGTCATTCGTTGAAAATGTCTTATAGCGACAATATAAGTATAAAGTTGTCTTCCCTATTGCCAATGTTAAAGTCTTATTTATTAACCTGAATTTGATTTCTTTTTAAATACATAAAAAAAAACTCGATTTTTTTCACAATCATATGATACTATTATGCAAAACAAAAGTTTACAATTGTCCAGCTTTGTTTGATCCCGAAGGTTAACATGGTTAAAAGTATGACGGTGAAGTCTGTACATTTCTCCTATAATTAATATCATATAAACAGATAAGAGCTTATTTCCCGTGTTTTACTTATTCATTTGTTATATTTTACCTGTCTTTACGAAAATAATCTCAACTGAATTTATGATATAAAAGTCTTTTTTACATGGGGTGTAATTTGTGGGTTTTTCCACACCACAAATATGCCGAATAACGAGATACCGGATATGCTATAAATTATAATCTTGTATTGTGCACATTTTTGTTTGTTATTTCAGAATGGGAGATACATCGACATTATATGTGTAAGTATGAACATGAAATTTATGTCACATCAAACATTTGTAGACATTCAAACACAGACAGAGCAAATATCGGAAATCTTCATACGAGTGTAAAGCTGCATGTAGAGTATTTATACAACGAGTTATACAATTGTAAAATGTTTAAATATTTAGCCTTAACCTGGTGAAAACAAATGAATTTAGGCAGTTGTTTTCCGTTAAATCCATTTAAATCATTGTGTTTACTGCCTTTCCCTTAACCTCTCCACTCATGAATCTATATCTAATACAAAACTCAAAGTCTGGCCAATGATAAAGTTAGTTATTTTTGGCTAATTATCTTTTCTGAAGCCAAACGAGAACCTTATTTGAAATATTATAATAGCCATCAAGCCGTATACATGGTATATCCAATATAAATACACAAGAATAGAAAAGCTAATTACTGTTTAATATATCCATACATATGATACATGTGCAATGTGAACAATCTTTTAAACTTGCATTTAAAAGCGACAAAACACCTATGACTACAGGCAATAACACCAAAAGATGAAATATGAAAATAATCGCCATCAGGTATGCTCAAGACAAACAGTTTCTGGTATTCAAATCAAAAACAAAACGTGGTCGACTATCAAAACCAAACAAGACATAAACAAAATACCGTTACAGGTAAACTTTGCCCGAGGGAGTGGCAACCATAGAATACGTACATTTACATTTATATTAACTGAAAATTTGCAAGCAAAATTTATTATTTGATTAATGGAAGTACCTCAACATTGGTCCTAAAAAGAAGTGTAGTCGTTTAATTCTTCTTTAAGTCTTCATAAACATATTGAAAAAGTTATAAACTAATGTAAAATAATTGTGTTTAGAAATAAACTTTGCAAACCATTATGGTTTAATGTACTCTGTGGTATGACCTTCGACTCAAACATGCAGTGAACTTATTCAAGTAACTGCAAACGTTCTTTGATTCGGGATTTTTCACATATGCTTGTAATATTCTTGAAGTTTAAATTCACCAAAATAAATACCGCATATACGTTTTTATCTAAGGAACTCTTATTTTTCATGCAATTCATTGTAGAGTAATACGAATATAAACTGTGTGGTAAAATAGTATACTCTATGTATTGTAACATTTGTTTTCAGGATAGTTCCTATAGTGGTATTCTTAAAGATAATAATCTGGGTAGCTATTTGTTATAGACGTTCAGATAGATACAGAAATTCATGTGGTAATCGAGGAATCATTGTTGCTCATCCGACCACAATTATTCAACGAACAGTGGTAAGTGTGTAGTTTATCAATATCAATTAAAATTATAACATATAACATAACCTTATTCATGGGGAAATATTCAATACGAAAAAACCTACTACAGTAAATTTATCAACAGAGCATTCACATTATTTTATTGCAAAAATTAGCATACAAAATTAAGACTGTCAAAATGTGTGTGTTGGTAAAAAAATGAAATAAATTCTTTATAAAAATGTTTATCAATATTAAAAGATTTCAAATCTCTTACAGCTTTTACGTACTTAAATAAATATACTTTAATATAAAGTATTCCTTTTTTGTGCTGTACTAATAAACAATTGGTAATTTTAAACTATCAAGAATTTTAAATAAAATATGCATGTTATGAAAAATAAACAATAAACTAAGGGTTTCAAACTTAGATATTTCAATAATACAACCGTATAAATTGCTATTTAGTGGTAAAATCCCAGTTTTTAATTTGGGTAACATAACATGAATGTTTTTATGCTCTTTAATGCTTGTTCGGCATAAATGTGAGATATTATTAATCCAATAAGAAGAAGGTATGTTTAAGTTTATTTATGGCCTTTTAAATAGAAAATCCCAAAGATATCAAAAATTGATCAAAGTTACTAGGCATATAATTTGTTACACTAAAATCGAATTATCCAAAAAGTTTTTCCAAATACAGCTAATTTAAGGCAATAGTACTTTACCGATCTTCAAATCCTATAAATCGATTGAGAAGACAAACCAAGGTAACAAGGAAAACCCGAAGGAATCGCATGCACTCATAAAGGAGCAATACTGGGCGGTCCAAATAAAACCAAATTAACCACAATCATGCAAGGATATATTGTTTAAAAATTGTCCGGTGATCTGCCAACCAACATAGCCGCCAAGGCAAAAAATAGAGCATAGGGGTAAAATGCAAGTATTGTCTTTTATCTCGTTAACCGTTATAGATAAAGAAAATCTGACAGGGATTTCAATTTATAAAATGACGAGATCTACATACTGTCCATTTAGGTCAAAACTGTCAGATGACACTTTATAAGAGTAATTACCATTTAAAGAGGTTTTTTGCCAGTCTTTTTGTTTTTTCTTATTATCTTGAAAACTATCATAGAAAGACAAAAACTTTATATAACAAAAGTGACCAGTAAGACAATATCTACAAATAAGACAACCCGGCCGAAATAGTCAGTGGATTCCTTATACAGTACTACCTGTGACATTATCTTACTAATGGTGGCCATAAAAAATATGGTCACCATGATGGCCCTAAATGTCCATCATTATACCTCCAGTTGCTTAATTAATACACAAGGTATAAATCAAAATCTAGTCAAGGATAAAGGGAAATCATGACTGCATTGAAGTGTTAAAATTACATAACTTACAGGTAAAGTGTCTCAGGTAAAATATATGTGTTTGTCAAATTCAATAACTGTGATTATGACAAGAAAATTCTAAAATAAAATGAAATAATAAAACTAGTTGAACATATACATGATATAGCTTCCTAACTTTTTTTGTAAATTTTTTCTCATGACTGTTTGTTCTGATGTTATACCATGTATACCTTTTAAATAATTCTCTCAATTTAAGTTATATGTTACATGTATTTTTTGGAAAGCGAATAATAAATGAATTTCATCTTCTAATATAATGCAAACTTTCACATCACCTGCATTTCCAATGAAAAGGTGTTTCTCAAATTAATTTTTTAAAATCAAAATTGTTTATACTTACTGCATTCAACATTGTTTAACAAATGTTTAAGATTATCTTTAGGACTTATTCTAAATAAAATTTAGGCAATTCATTATTTCTCTTTTGAATAAATACATATATATTCAAAATATTCATTACAGAAAAATTTGATAGTATTTTTATTGTCATATAAACATGATAAACATTATACAATTTAATCAAGTTTCTGACAAAAAAAACCAAAAACAAACATTATAATGCAAAGAAATAACAATTCTATAAGAAATCAAAACACATGGAAAAAAATTATTAGGTTTCTGCCCTCAGTTCTAATGACATTTTTTTATAAAGGAGCCAATTGCAATATTTTAAACATGTTCCATGTTATAGAAGTTTAGCATTTCTTTTACTTTTTGATCTTGGTTAAAATTTTATTCATAAGATTCAAGATTTTTTTCATAAACTGGTCAGAGACATTATTATGAGAAGGTAAACAATTTTCAAATTGATTATCTCTAAGTTATTATGTTTATTTTACAAACAATTCTATCCTTTATAGGAATTTCTATCCACCATCTTCTATTTCTAAATTATGACCACTAATTCTTTACTTAGTGAAGCATTTGAGTTTACTGTTTTCATCATAAGTTTTTATTTTATTTTCAAAATTATTTTATTTTTTTTCTTAAATTTCATTTTTAATCAAGGGCTTTAAAGAATCTAATTCATTCAAGTCCCTGCAATTATTAACTTTATCTAAAAGGCCCGAGTTGAGTGAAATATTTTTTGCAAATGTATACCAAGAATAAGTATCATGCATATGCCAGTCCTGCACTTTCTGACAATATTATACACAGAACAAAACGTGATTTAATGTGTATATATGTCTCTGGTTTCAAAAAGCAAGAAATTTTTTTCTTTAAATACAATTTCTTTTCATAAAATTTACTTTATTCAGAGATAAGAACATTTTTCATTATGATTAGCATTTATCAAAATTTGTTAATAACTAGGGAGCCATTTTGGAAATTTAAGTCTCTTTAGTGGTTCTTCATGCACGACTCCAGTTTTGAGATTTGAAAAAAAATAAAAGATAAACTAATATAGTTTATTCCTATACCATATAATGATATTTGTAGTTTTCCTGAATAATAATCATGATATTAGATTATACAACTTTGTTAACAAGATTAATTGTAAAAGGATTGATATTCATGATATTGATAATTCTAATTTCTTAAGAAACAGGCTTGATAAATTACTTGCTTCATGGTTCCTTTAAACATATCATTTTCATGATTATAAGTTATAATTAATAATAATTCATATTATAATGCAAACAAACAATAGAATTCCATGCACATCAACTTTTTTTACTGAAAAAATAATTATTTAAGTGCCAGTCTTTGTAAGAATCAGACAATTTTGAAAAAAATCAAAACATGGCCGAAAAAAACCCACCGACCTAACTACCCTATTTTTAAGGTACCCTCTTCCTGAGTTAGAAATGGTAGGTCTTTTGTTTCTGTGTGTCTGGTAATTCGAGAAATATCTAGATAAATTTTGGTTAGAATGATAGCAAATTACGGAGTTATCTCCCCTTAATTATTAATTTCTAGTGCATTTCAACCAAATTATATCTTGAATTACCAGAACAGGGAGAGGAAACGAATGTTATATTCATGCATCATTATACATTCTGAACTTAAATTAATGTCAACCTGAGTGGGTTTTTTTTGTCATGTTTTCACCACTGCCTGATTCTTAGGCAGATTGGCACTTAAAGGATTCTCTGTTTTGTTTTCAAATGCTAGTCAATAACTTATCTTTGATTTTTTTGTCATTTCTACTCAAGATTCTTTCCAAGAAGAAATTAAAAGAATAAGAAGGAAAAAAAAACCAAATATAAATTAAAAATAACATAAAAAAATAAAAACATTAGAAAAAAAGAAAAATGTAAATTAAGACAGAAAAATCAACAAATGATGTAAATTAAGATCAATTAACAAAGACTAAAGCAATATTCTATTCTACATTTTCAAAAAAAGGTGAAATGTCAATTTGAGAAGAAACCTGAGATACCTGTACAGGTAAATTTTGATAAAACATACAAGCTGAAAACTTCAACCCTGATTGATTTCAACAGGTAACATAATTAGATAAAACATCAACCTATGTTTTATGACCCCAATAAATGGCCAACATCTCAAGATTGAATACCCCAATAAATGGCCACCATTCGATGGTGACCATACAAGAGGGTGGACATTACTAAGAGGAAGTCACAGGTTGTACTGTAGTTGTTATTGCTCTTAAATGGAGATTTTACCAGTTTTTGTGTTTTACTTATTATCTTTTAAACTGTAATAAATAGAGAGAAACTTTCAATAGCAAAAAATCAGTAAGATAAGATTTAAGAATACTTCAACAATGCCGAAATTGTCAATCGACTCCTCATAGTAATTATTGCCCTAAAATGATGTTTTTTTTTCTATTTGTCAATTTGGGCAATAAGTACAGTAGAGAGAAACTGTAAACACCAAAAGTGATCAATAAAATATATTTATGTCATTAAGTATGAACTAGTCTTTAATATTGGAAAGTGTTCACGATACAACAGATTCATGTGAGCGACACAGTTTCTTTAGAGCTTCTACTGCTAGATATCAACCTTATTGTTCTCCATGTCCATCAACATATGTAATGTACAATTAATCGTAGAGATAATAGTTTAAGATTTAGTGCAATATTATACTATATAAAGAAAAATGTCAAAGTAACAGGTGTTATTTTTTTCTTTTTGTTTAAAATCACAAGACAACTAAACTCAGATATTGAACCAACTGCATAACATTACGTTTAATCACATATTTCAGAACGCTTTATTTTATCTAGCATAGAAATTATGAACACTAATATACATTTTATATCATATAAAATGAAATGGAAATATATTCTATTTTATATATTATATGTGAAAGTGAGACATTCTTGAATGAAAGTTTGAAGTTTATATTATTTTTTATTTATATTAAAAGAGAGGCGGAATATACCAACGGGAAATTCAAACTAATAGGTCGAAGACAAACTTATTCATTGATGGCAAAACCGATAAGTTACGAAAATACAAACAATAGACTATAACACACAACATACACAACTAAAGACTTAGAAACATGAACCCCACCAAAAATCAGGGTTGATCTCTTGTACTCCGGAAGGTTAATGATATCGTGCTCTGCATGTAGAGCCGTCATGTTCGCATGCTCGTAAAGATTCGGTGATGAGTCTCATTGTGTGATGTTACATTCGAGTCAAAGAGAACGGGATTGTTGTTACGGTAAATAGAACACATCCATTGCCATCTATGAAACAGATAATTCATAAAGTTCAGCTATCTTGCGATTGCGTCGGTAACATTTTCGAATAGCTTGTTCTCTCGAGGACTACTTTGGTTGTGGTTCTTGTTTAAAGTATTTTGAGTGTTCAAGTTTATTTAATAAACGAGATTACGAAAAGTAGTATCATTAGTTTATTGTAAAGCCCATGGCCAAAGGAATAAAACGTGATTCAAGCTGAAAGTGTATAATCGGCATCCGTGTGTGCATTTAAAATGATTGACGATAACGTGAATAAATTTGTGCAACAGGATGTATACCGTTATATAATATAAATAAGTCTAAATTGAAAACAACGTTCAAACCTATGATTGCGTTGGATAAAAACCGCAATTTTTATACGTGTGCATGTTAAACAAATTTCATGGTAGAGGGGTATAAATACAGCACAAACAACATTTTCCAAAAGACCAAAAAAGAGAAAAAGTATATTTAAACAAAACGCATTTGACTAACAGGTCGAACAACGGATGTTCTTAAACTCTGCTGACTGCCATCGGCAATAGCCAAATAAACGTATCATAAGATGTAACAAAATGGATCTTTATTATTAATTTAATATCAAACAGAAAACAATAAACTTGCGGAAAAGATGGTATACGGCAAACATGAGGTACAAAAATTTGTACACCATATCCGGATTTCGACAATTAATGTCTCTCCAGTGATGTTAGGAATCGAAACGGTATTTGGAAGGCCATATAATTTACCTCAATTTAGAATAGACTCTTGAATTTTAAAGAGTCGAAATAGGATGAACGGATCATATAAGCCCGAAGGCAAATATAATACAAGACTAAACGAAAAAATATAAATAAGTCTAAATTGAAAACAACGTTCAAACCTATGATTGCGTTGGATAAAAACCGCAATTTTTAAACGTGTGCATGCAAAACAAATTTCATGGTAGAGGAATCTAAATACAGCACCAACAACATTTTCCAAAAGACAAAAAATATAATAAATATATAATTTTCATTGTTTTCTATTTCTTCAGAAATGTACATAATAAGAGAGCTTTTCGTATGAACATGTTAACATGAAGTTTTTCTAACATAGTAATTCATCTTCAATTTCCTTATGGTCTATTGATTTTTACTGTATGTATTTTTATATCATGGCTGTTTGCATCATTCTGGATAATAAGTGATAATTGACAATCCTTTTGCAATAATAAACCATATTACAAAAAAATATTCTATTGATGCATTTTGGTTTTGATAATGTTTCCTTCAGATGAAAAAAAAACTATTCTCATGTCTGTTTCTATATGTTCATGCTTGAAATATTCCAAACAAACACAGTTGGTTATACGCTGGTCATGCAGTTAGGGGCAAATTCAAATTACAGATGTACAATGTGCACAAGGGTGCAGAATACTTCCAAGAAGCCCGAGGTTGTGTATTCTTATCCTGTCTTCACGACAAATAGGTTGTTCCAGCAGCAACGCTTCAACCACTTTAAACCAAATTTAATAGTTATCAACTATAGAACGTGGAATTCACGACAAAATTCGGAATCCCACAATTACATATACATTATTCATGAAAAATGTTCGACTAAACAGCTTTCTAAAGTTCTAAAACTATTCTTTGTACAGTAAAAGATGGCCTTTAGAAATATTGTGACAAAGTACGTTCAACAAGCGGTGTAAATCAGGTGGGGATTCTTATGAATTATATAGATCTACTCCAAAATCTTTACAGTTTTGCTGTTATTCAAAACTTTTCATTTTTCTACGTTGTATGCGACTATTCCCCTTGCGAAATTGAAAGATCGATTACATCGTCTCATTAAACATATCTTTGTCTACATGGGAATCGTAGACACAAATTCCTTGTTTAGGGTCATGAAAAGTTTTACTTTGTGAAAAACCACACTGATTCCAACAAGTACACCGATATTGATATGAACAAAATGCTTGATCTTTTGATCAACAATATATTTGTGGAGATTGTTAAATTGATATGTCAACAGACAGTCTGTATTATAATTGGTACACATTACGCTATTTTGCTGGCCAATTTGTTTCTGTACTTACATACTGCAAAATTCATACAAAACGTACTCAAAGAAAGAAAAACATTTTGCAAATTTCATTGATTTAACATTTTGATATATTGATGATGTCCTGTCAATCAATTACCTATATTGATTTGAGTGATTGCATCTCATATCCCAGTAAACTTGAGATTAAGGATACTACTGCAACTAGAAGGTCTGTTTCATAGCCTGATCTTTTCCTCGATACTGACACAGGTGGAATACCTTAAACTAGAATGTATGACAATCGTAAAAATTTCAACCTTATATTGGGCAACTTCCCATTTCTCAGCAGTATTATAAACTCTGCCCGATTGTACGGCGTTAACATATTTCAAATACATGTTCGCACTATATGGACTTTATTAACATAAGTGTGCTCCTACCACAAAAACTAGGTTATATGGAAGAGCGACTGAAATCGACACTTTATAAGTATTACGTTAATAATTGGTTAACCAATACAACGTGGTTGTGTCTCAACTCACTATCGACATGTTGTTGCTCTCTTAGATCCTTAGCATGCCAGATGTTGTTTGATCAGTAATTTTACAGATTTTATCTATTCCCTATTGTGACATTTTGACATTATAACATCCGCCTATCTTTGACTGAGTGTTGATTTGCAGGGTGGGTGATGCAAACATGGCAGGAAACGCTAATACTATAGACGAATCCGGTCTCGTTCCTGCTGAAGTTCATTCGTTTTCATCAGATTGTGTTTACTACCTTGATTTGTATCTTCTGAATCGGTTCAGGAAGTTTAAACATCTGTAAACTACTGTTGTCTTAATTTAATTCAATATACAGCGGATATTCTTACACAACAATCTGATATCAGTCATTTTGTTGTCCATTTTTAAAAAAACGTTACGGAAGTAGAAGAAATGAGAGCATATAATTTTGGAATTATGATAAAAGAAAACGCAAGCATTAGATAATAATTGCAAAGTATTGATCTAATAACACCGGTTTCAGTAGAGCATTGATTTATTTTGATATAATCAATTAATGTACCACGCGAGATTGTAGCACAGTATTGAACCTATACGGAAACCAATCTTTACTGTCGCACTTCAAGTGAAATATCTCAATGATAGAATGACGTGTTTTTCGTTTGTAGTTCGAAGGAACTATTGCAACGTTGTTTTTGGAAAACCATGATGGGACACGCAAGCTTATTATGCTTTTTCAAATCAATGTAATCATAATTTTTCTTTGCACCATCTATACAGGGAGTTTATATTTTTCCTAAATATAAAGAACACATGTTAACGTCTGCTACTTATTTTGGGGAACTTTCCGTAGTTAATGCCTCACTGATATTCATTCGATCTTGTTTTTGTGAAAATTGATATTGGTGAAATAGCGATTAAGTGCGACATTTACAATTTTAAATAATATATAATAATTATTTCATGCATATTCAGGAAGAAAGAAAAAAAGAGGTGTTGGTTATACGTATATAAGATAGAAACCCATGATAGAAACAAAAAAACAAAACAATTTATATGTAGGCATACAGTCTTCGACAGTAAACAAATATACTTACACGACCTAAATTACCCCGAATATAAGATAGCTGTAAATAAATTTAACAGAGACTATAAATCATCTGTAACCAAAACCAAATTCCTTAAGTTGCAAACATATTCTGATATATCTGAATACAACAATTGACGAGATATCTGATTTACGACAGGCACATAGACATAAAAGTGGGGTTAAGCTAGTTTTTTTTAACATTCATTTAATTTCGCTCAATGGAATATCAAACAATACACAATTGAATGCAAACACAATACACAGTACAGACAACTCTTTACTCTATAATTTTCTGTTAAAGATTATATTAAACCAACTTTAAGCAAAACAATCATTAATTATACCGTATATATACGAATTTAACTAAATTATCTATAAAAACTATCCAAGGTAAACATTGACAACACATTAAAGTTCTACTTTTTCAATTGTGAGTTATACAAATGTACTTTTTAATCAGATTCATGGTCCAGCTGACAATGGTATTACTGGTATGGAAAATCCTGGATATATGCAACAGCCTCCACCTTACACTGAAATAACAGGTCCAAACTCAACACAATCATCGGCGCCACCAGCATACGATCAAGTTGTCAAAGCTCCTGGTTTCGCAGAACAATATAATCGGGGAACACCGGGTTATTAGTGTATTTTAGTGAATATGACTATTTTCGTTACTGCTTACCACTCACCTGAATTCAATGGTATTTCGGATTCATGCAAGTTATTGTTATCATAATCCAAACAAATGTACTATCCAAGACTGTTGTATTCCGTAAATTCATTTAAAAGTCACGGTACACAGTCGAAAGAATCTACAAATAAATATTTATGTTATATTTTAGAGTTTTGATTAGCATGTAAATTTGTTATTGACTTTGTAGAAAACTAATATGTTTTGCCGACAACTTTCAATGTATCCATGTTACAAAGATTATGTTATAAAGAAAAAAGGGTAAAGAAAGAAGACAGTTTTACAAATTTATTTTGATTGCAGAATGATTGCAGAACAATGAACAAATAAGCCATTAGGATTAACTTTTTGTATGCCCCACATGCATCGCAAAAATCATGAGACTAATTAAGATAGTTGTCATATATTTTCAGATTTTTCCTTATTCATACATTGATCTTAACTTTATAGTATATTCAACAAACAGCATTCCTGTCATATAAACATGAGACAGGTGTCAATTATCATAAACTATATCATATCATTTTGGCATAAATCATGGTAATACATTGATAGTGACCAAATTAATCCATTAGAAAAATAGCAATTATTTACGTATTTTAAAAAACTTGATAAGAACAAATCTGATGCAGAATATATTATATTAATATATTTATTACATGTATAACAAACGACAAGAGAGACCAAGTGGACAATAAAATATCACAAGTCGAGAAGAAAAAAGACAATACAATTGCAATAAGGAAATGACTTAAAGACAAATTAGACTATACAAAACACTAAACTGAGTACTGAGCATAAAGTACCATACTAAAAGCCGGAGGTAATATCATATGCTGCAAAATTGTAGGCAGATCCTACTCTACTAGTTTTATTGTTTATTTGAAATGGTATGCAATTTTACATCTGAAGTTTAACCAGAATAACAAGTCACTGTCTTTATATGATACCTTATATTGTACTTCAGCAATATCTATTTTCCGAAATTGTTTTCTATTTAGGATATTTGCTACTCAGATTTTCAACTTGTCCCTAATAATTTATTACTTTCATAGATCTTTCCAAGGCAGTAAACGAGAAAGTTTTGCATTATATGCAAAAAGACCATACCTACCGAATGTTTGTTTACAAAGAATTTTATATCTTGGTTATTTTTAATATAATTTTTTATATAAGTTTTTACAAATATTTCACAGACATCCTTTATCTACGAAACAACCTGCCCTTTTTTAATGCATTTTTTACGGAACCGAGCATACAGACCTATCTATTAGTATGATGAATAATATTAAGGGTACATTTTTGTTCACTTAATCAACCTAACCCAATGGTTTTATTAATATTGCCATCTTATTTAAATAGAAAAAATAACGAATAGGTGCCAGTTGGCGAGACTAATGTGTACTTATATCTCCATGTATTTCTGACTACTGTTGATCGAAGATATGTGTATAGTTATTTTGTATGATTGTTCAAAACATTAAATATTTTAATAAAATTTTATGAATTTTACTATCAAAAGAAGCTATTTTGAATGTCTCTTTGTATTCTAAGACAGATATTTAGTATGTGCTTGACATCATTATTGATTATATATTTGATTAATTTGCTTGACATACCATTCAATGGATTCATGAATTACCATTTTAGTGGACATTAATTCCATGCTACTTGGGGTAAAATTTTCGGAGTATGTTTTCATAACAGAATCATCCAAAGCCTATGACAGGAAAAAGAAAGATGGATTTTGTTAAAAATGTCAACTTTGTCAACATAAAATTCGTTATCACAACAGCTTTGACTATTTATTTTCCGAAGGCTCAAAATGATTGGCTACGACAAATCAATAAAAAAAACAACTGAGAAAGACACGATGACTGTTTCGTAACAACTGGTATTTATGAATGACTTTGACTACAGGACTATCAGCCACCTTATATAAGTAGATAAGCTGAATGTTTCAGAGCAATTGATATACATCACTAGCTTTAGTTCAAGAAGGTAACAAAGAGTGGCAGACAAGCTAACTGTTTAAGGCACCTCGTTTAACTACTGGTTTTACGGGACTGTGTTTTGTTTTAGTTTTGTCTTCCGTAAAAATATTTTGTGATGCATTTTTTGATAGTATGTGCCTCCTTATGTAGTTGAAACTATTTTTATTGTCCCGTATGCTATTGATTTTTTTAACTGACATTTTCCATTAATTTTGTAACAATCTCTTCATTATCCTCCAGTTTTTTCAATTATGTGTTTCTGTTTCCTTAAGTTTTAGAAAATTTTCAAAAACCTTTGACAATATACTAGATATGCAGACAAAAAAATTCGTACAGGTCATACAGTGGTTTTTAGGCACAACGAAAAAAAACGCTGACTTTATTATTAAACGTCCCATCCAGCAATATAAGTGATACTAGTATCTTTCACTGAATAATTCAAGGTGTTAAATACAGTAGATTCACTTAAGTCTGCCTCATATCTTGACTCACATCAAGAAATTGACAATGAGAATCTGTTGAGAAGAAAACTTTACTACAAAAAGGATGATTTTAGTTTCCCAAATATGAACTTTCCATTTCTATGTAACAACATTGCAGCAACACCTGTATATGGAGTTGATACGATATTCCAAAGCTTACATTTCCTATTATGATTTCCATGATAGAGAGTTGCTGCTTACAAGGAAGCTACGGAACCAAGAGTTCCAAGTGTCGAAGTTGAAATCTTCCCCTCAAAAATATTTACGTCATCATGAGTTGGTTGACCGTTTTGGAATATCTGTTTTATAGATGACGACGGATATGTTATAATTGTTGTAACCACAACATCGTCCTCTTTTCCTCGAATATGACATACCAAAATAGACTTATCATACGATACTTGCCACTAGTGGAGCAATAACCTTTTGGAACACCTTAGCTAATTCCTTGTTTTTGTTGTGGTTCGTGTTGGTCTATCTTGGCATTTCTGTGTATGGAAATATCTATATAGTGTTTTGGAGACTGTTATTTGTCTTGTTGTCGTTTTCTTGGACTATGGAATTGACTGTATTTCTACGACATATTGCCGTATAACCATATAACGAAATACCATGAACTCCAAAATTGAATGAGACCTGGTGTGTTGTAAAAGAAGAAATTTGAATATATATATTAAGATAAAATATGAGTAGGCACACAAATCAAGAAAATAGATTAATTATCTTCATAAAACATGTTTAACCCCGCAGCATTATTTTTGTGCCTGTCCCAAGTCATGAGCCTTTTATTCAATGGTTGTCGTTGGTTCATGCATGTCATGAATTACTTCACGTGCTTCATGTCGGGGATTTTTACAGGTGATTCAATAGTGTGGTTTTTTCTCGTTGTTGAAGGCCGTATGTTGACCTATAGTTTCTTACATCCACGTTATTTGAACTCGGGAGACTAGTTGTTACATTGGGAATCATATCACATCTCCTTGTTTACATTTTATCATGAAAAATAAATATAAAAAGGAATAGCAGAAATTTCCGAAAACAGTAGACAGCACAAACAGACCACACTAACCAGCCAAAGCCGATCTCTCCTAGAATACAAAGCGGTAAAACAAAAATAGCAACAACGGACATCATATGGTCCAGATAACCTGACTAGAACACGCCCCAAAAAATCTAGACTATATCGTAAAAGTAAAACACATAATGAATGACCAGCAGACCCCAGGTATTAACAAGATGACCTTTAACTTAAGGATGTATTCTTCTGAATTTTTAGACTCGTTGAAATCTCGTTCGGGAATTATTTCCAAAAAATGTGATACAAGTGGAAAATATCAATGAACTTAAAAAATATTACAATCAAATTAAACTCTATAAAAAAATTGTGTATTACAATAAGTAGTTTTTGGTAATAAAAATAAAACCAATACGGTCAGCGTCATAGGCCAAAATGTTGAAAAAATTGGTGTGTGGTACAAAAAAAATGATTTTACCAAAGATATGTACATCCCATATTATTTTTTTCTTTTCAAAATTCTTATAAATGTATTTTTCAAACATTTATAACAAAGAAGTTGAAATAATATGCTTTTGTTCTAAAAAAAAGGAAAAATCCCTAATTTACAAAATTGACAGCATGGTCATTTTGACACGAAAAGGCAACAAAATTTTATAAAACTTTTTAATATTTACACCAACCTATAGTTTTTTTAAGTTAAATTTATTCAGATTGGTCCACTTCATATTTAGTGAAAATATGAAAAAAAAATTAATTGTAAAAGTGTGTTTTTTTTCATGAAAATAACCCCAAAATGGATAAAAATTGATGAAAATTGGGAAAATCATTAAAAATGGGCACTTTCAAATGGCCATAGCAAAAAAAAAAAAAAAAAAAAAAATTGCACCACCGTATGATTTTTTCTTAATCAGTTACTTTCTTAAAGTCATATAAACCAAAAAACCAGGTTAAGGAAAAGAGTTTAATTCTAGAAATTTTTGGCTCCTCAGAGGTTTACATCCTTAAAGAACAATATATATCAGCACATAAATGAGGGTGTGGATGGGAGTTTACAGAATAGAGAATAATGGGAAAAAATTGTAAAAATAGAGAAAAATGGACCAAAAAAAAAAACAATAGAGAATACTGATTTGCTATAACATAAAGTATAGAGAATAATGGGCAAACAGTATAAGAATAGCCTAAATGACCTAAAATTTAAAGAATACAGAAATGAAGGACCTCCCATCCAGACCCTCATAAATTTGGAGATCAGGGACGAAATTTGCTCGCTACTAAAGGTAGCTAGCTAGGGTAGCCATAGTTGTTGATCGAATAATATTTATACACGTAGTTTGAAATCGTTTTTGGTTCATCGGTTTTCTTTAGAGAAAACGCACTTTTCCCGGATGTATCCTGTTATGCATATATTTCAAGTTTTGATGTAAAAAGGCTGTGATAAATTGAGGTAAGACAGTTTTAATAAATACTTAGACTGTCTATAGATGACAGACATCTCAGTTTTTCAGAAACTGATCTAAATAAGAAAAAATCATTTATATGTCATACGCCAACTTATATAAGTTATTCGGAATCGTGTCTTTTTTGTTGTTGATATTTACATATAATGGCCATTTATTACATATTTGTCCGCTCACAATAGTCATACTTGGTACTGAACAAGTGCCAACCGGTTAACTTATAAGGATAGGGAAAGTAGAGAATAACAGAAATACCGAACTCCAAAGAAAAATCAAAACGGAAAGTCCCTTAACAAATTGCAAAATCAATAAATATGTATAACCAAATATTACACACATACCACCAAAACCCCTCCTCCTAATAGAAACAACAATAAAGGAAAAAAAATCAGACAAAACAGCAACATATAGTTGCTTGGTTCTGTATGGGAAATAATACAAGCATGTATTTCCATGAAGATATGATGTCCGATACAAACCTTTGTTAGTATCTTGTAAGCTTGTTAATTTTGTAAACATAATAAAATTCTTTAACTATACATAATTACTTTTTTAAAGGTATATGAAAAAAGGGACTTGGTTTTTAATTTCTGACCATGAGTGCCATGACAAACTGTGTACTATTTTTTTTCTCGTTTTCAAACGTAACATTAAAAACATAGAGATGCAATATAAACTATTTTACGTCATTTTAGCAATTGACGCACTATTCACGACGTGTGCAAACATCATTGGAAAAGTATTTTGGTCTATTTTGAAATTAGAGGAAAACTATATGTTTTGTAGATCTCGCGTCATCGTTTTCGCCACTGCTACACAACACATACATTGTAAAATAAATTATCCTGAAAACATGTAGTATATCACGTAAGGAAAAGCCAAAAAAATTTCAAGGAATATAAAAGTTATCCTTGTGGTGTTATTTAAGTGTAAAAAGTTTCTGCACCATCCCAATTAACTTGTTAAGAAAATGGTGCAATGTCATGGTTGACGGAATTTTGTTTTATGCTATAAGAAATATATCCATGGTCTGTGACGCAAATTTCCCTTACCAGCCAAATGACAACTTAAATTCTTATGCATTTTATGGACCCTGTGTTTGTAGGCTTCCTTGTTAGCAGAATCATCTATAGAGGAAATTTGGATAGGAAGTACATGCTGTTAAATGTTATGTTAACTGAGGATATATGCTCCTCATACATGGCTTTAAGTTCGAGAGTAGAAAATTTAAATAGCTTTTTGACTGAAGTTTTGTGATAAAACAAACCTCACAGTCAATTTCTTCATGTCTATCATAGGTAATAACTAGACCTAGCTCATAATGTTATGTAATTTATCTCAATTGCAATTGGATGTAATAAAAGAAAACAGACGTTATTTCTAAATTATTTTATGAAATATATTTTGATTTTCGTTTCAGAATGAATTCGTATTTTATAATGTAAGTATGTAAAAGTGAAATTTGAAATGATACATAATTTTCTTTTGTAACTAGAAAATGATTTTTACAATAATTTATAAATTAACTAGTTCTACAAAAAATATTTTATGCGAAATATCTTTATGTATTTAGTAATTTAAAATAAGGAAAAGAAAACAAAATTATCATAAATAGAACAAATCTACTCAATTAAAATTGGCAGATATAAGATGTTAATTTAAAACGATTTTAAATGTCATAAAAAAGCAGGATGTATCTTATGCAACAGGTACAGGAAAATCAACTGCGAGCGCGTCAAAGATGAAAGAAGAAATCTGAATTTATAATTAACAAACAAATACATGTACGGCAAATCTAAAGCAGCCAAGTGATAAAACAAAATAGAAAAATTCATTAATATAGAAAATACAAAAACAAAAAATAGTTTAGGACAAAGTGAATAAATCATTGTCAAAAAAAAAGAGGAAGAATATACAAAGGCGTAATCAAAAACATAAGTCAAAAGAAACTAATTACCATTGCCAAAATTAAAAACGACGAAAAGGCAAACAACAGTCTATAAAACAACAGATTGAAAACTGAAGATTGAGAATCTTTAACTCTATAAACAAAACCTAGGGTAAACAAATGTGCTCCGGAATGGTAGGCGATATGAAGTACTGATAAAATATAGGCATATTGTGCTTTGCAAGCAAAACGTCTTCAGTTTTAAAATGTCTAACGTCAACTTGATATCTTATAAAATCGTGAAGTTAAACGAAGATAAAGTCTGTTTGCTATATTGAATCAGTAACAAGTTTCCAAGAGTTTAGGGTGTATGACTTATAATGTTTTGCAGTAATGACGTATGTTTTCTTTAGATGAATTCTCTCATGTATAGTACTTTATTATTTCTTTCTCGGCAAGTTTCATTGTCCCAATAATAATGGAGTCCACCGGAATTGTTTTTCTATTCGTCCCTTTTGTCCTGCCAATTCATAACTAACGTATATTCGAATCTGCCCTGTAGTTATCATAATATTTGTATTGTTTCCATTATAAACTTATGAAATTATTCTTCTTCATTCAAATCTGCATTTTGCGGCGATCATTGGTTTTGCCGATTGATTACCATATTTTTTAATTTACTTTGTCTGATATTGGTTACAATTGGCATTTTCAAGCAACTTTGTTCTCCAATATATAGATATGTTATAGCTCGATCAACATCCAGCAAAATATATTTGAATTGGTGCAATGGGTCGTCTTGAACTAGCAGTAAGTGTTAGTTTGATCAAGGTTGAAGAACACGCTATGACTTTAAGATGTAGAACAACAATAAAAAATGCTTGTTATCTTTCCGTAAAGATGTATAATTGAAAGAATATGTATTTTGGGGTTTAATACTCCATCAAAATGTTCTTATAAATATTTTGGTTATATATTGGCGAGGATATGAAATACTTACCAATGGACAATACTGAAATACAATACATCAGTCGTTAATGTCGTAAACTTTGACTGGTTGTCGATTTTGTTTTATGATTGGAGTTCATAAACCACATGGTATAGTTTCGTAATTCAAACGTTTTGTTTATTTGTTTCATTGATTTACCGTTTGAACATTATTTTCTAAATCATTATTCTATCCTTAGATTTTTCCATTATCATTATTGTACATACAACAAATCTTAACACATGGTATATAATCAGTACTAAATCTATGATACTAGTATATAACATCACTTTGAGATTTTCGTTGTATTTTTCGTACAAAGATAGTTTTTTTTCACGAATTCAAAAAGATGATGCTGGGTTGACGACTCAGGAAGACATGAAAAATAGAAAGATAAAAGTGATAAAATATAAATTACTTAAAATTTCTCAGTCACAGCCTGAGGACAATCTATTTGGTCTTGTTAGAATTCTATATTATAAAATTTTAAAAGAAATTGATTAAAAACTGATATCTATCAATATTTTGTAGAATACTTCCAATAGTGTTAGTTGTGAAAATAATATTTTGGACGACATACTGTTATTTTCGGTCACAGAGATGCAGATCAGCTCGGGACGACAGGAATATCCTTGTGACATCGCCAACTGCAATTATTGACAGACGACCGGTAATTCTATTTCAGTTTATAGAATCTATTTACTTATTTCTTAACAGCAAATCTGAGGACTTACCTTGTTTGTATTGGATACCTAAGCTTCACAAAATTCCATACAAACAATAGTACATTGCCGGCTCATCTGCATGTTATGCAAAGGAATTGTCCTTTAGATTGACAAAAATTCTGTCCGCAGTGAAAGAGGGTCTTCCGAAATACTGTGAAACTGTTTACTCGCGTAATGGTATTAACAAATTGTCGGCATTTCTATTGGATCGAACTGTGCGCATCTCCTTGCCGACCTCTTCTTATTTTCATATGAGTCAGAGTTCCTTCAGACACCTGTCAAAAACAAGAAGATTAAAGAAGCCAGATCATTTAATTTCACATTCAGATATATTGATAATGTTCTTTCCATTAACAATCCAAACTTTTTTCATTGGGTTCCATTTATATATCCTCCAGAACTAGAAATTAAAGAAACAATACACACGGCTTCCTCCGCCTCATTTTTAGACTTATACCTTGAATTTGACATCTCAGTACCAGAATCTATGACAAACGATACGATTTTAATTTTGAAATTATCATTTCCCCCCACCTTAGTAGCAATATACCAACTTCACCTGCATATGGGATATACATGTTGACTGCTGTACCCCTATTTTTTTTTTACATTTTTACCTATTATGTCTGTTATTTTGTTCACACATTGTTAATATAATGGAATTTTATGCGACTGTCATACAAGTGAGAGGTTTAGCTAGATATAAAACAAGGTTTAATCCACTATTTTCTACATAAGGAAATGCATGTACCAAGTCAGGAATATGACATTCGTTTGATGTGTTTGAGCTTTTGATCTTTCCATTTGATAAGGGACTTTCCGATTTGAATTTTCCTTGGAGTTTGGTATTTTTGTTATTTTACTTTTTTCTCTTATGTATGGTTTATATGATCCGTTCATCCTTTTTCGACTCTTCAAAATTCAAGAGTCTATCCTTAATTGAGGTAAATTATATGGCCTTCCAAATACCGTTTCGATTCCTAACATCACTGAAGAGACATTAATTTTCGAAATCCGGATATGGTGTTCTAATTTTAGCACTTTTGTTTGCGGTATACCATCTTTTCCGCAAGTGTATTGTTTTCTGTTTGGTATTAAATTAATAGTCATTTTTGTTACCTCTGGTGATCCGTTTATTTGGCAATCGCCAATGGCAGTCAGCAGGGGTTAAGAACATCCGTTGTTCGACCTGCTAGCCAAATGAGTTTTGTTAAAATATACTTTTTCAAAAATGTTGTTTGTGCTGTATTTAGACCCCTCTACCAAGAAATTTGTTTTGCATGCACACGTATAAAAATTGCGGTTTTTATCCAACGCAATCATAGGTTTGAACGTTGTTTTCAATTTATACTTGTTTTATATATATATATATATATATATATATATACAGCTATAGTTAGAGGAGGGAATAAGGGGTCTGCGGAATGCTAGGCGGTGTTGTCGTAGAAGTATGAAGTGAAAAGTACAGGTTTCAGCCCCGGTCGGGGAGGAAGTAAAGAATCAGATCTACTCTAACATTGTTAGGTTGATTTTCTAGTAACTTTATATATATATCAAAACAAAAGAGATTGACTTTTATTGTGTAAGAACATAATATTTCCCTAAGCACGTGACAAAAAGTTAGCGTGCAATGTTATAAAATTACTGTTTAGATGAGGTAAAAATGTGGTTTTATTGACTTTCGAAAATTTGAAATTTACTGAGGACAACCTCCGGAGTGAATATAAGTTTTTCAAAAGTCAATTAAAATTCATATTAACCGACACAAAGACTAAAGAATTGTTTCATTTCATATTTTGAATTTGATGACAATTATTAACCAAAACCATTTGGACACAAAACTTGTTAGAGCACGAGACGAATAGCGCCTGAATACCAATTTTCTTCATGTAAATAAATGAAATAGGAAAACAATCAAATGTAAACGGGAATTAACATATTTAATCATCTCCTATGAGTAGTTTTTGTTATTATGGACGCATTGCAAATAAACAGTTTTGTAGATTTTGAACATATCCTTTGACGAAATCAAGATTACATGTCTAAAGAAATGAAACTCAATTTTAGTCACAAGTACAAAATATATAAAATGCTTCCTTAAAATCTATTTTAAATTGAAAAATATCTCAGAGTATTCATGAGATAATTTTCATTGATCGGGTGTTCTTCTTTCTAAGTAACCATTTCAGAGTATAGTAAACAAAATATTGCATTCAAACATTGTTTGTTGGAGCGAATGGGTGAAGTCTGTTTAAGATGTGTCTAATACAATTTGCGTTTATGCAAGTAAAATATGTTTAAACTAAAATATTGCAATTAAACATCATCGATTTCTATCTTTTTTTCTAAATCTAGGTACACGGACATGCAGTCAATGCTGTAAATGGGAAGGAAAATCCCTGTTACTTCCAACAACCAGAAGTATACCCAAATGTCACCAGGTCAACGTCTACTCCGGTGCCAACTTATGACCAAGCCATCAAGTCACCATACTATAGAGAACATATCAACAATTATTAATTTCATTTAAGTTTCCCTTAAATGCATATACATTATATTCGCTATAAAACATTTCTTCATCCATTTCAGTATTTATCCATATTTCTGACAAAATATAGTGCTTTAGAATAATGTATCTTATTTATGATTTTAGAAACGTCCCTCCCCCCCCCCCCCCCCCCCTGGCCAATGCTAATTTCTTTCTATCCATTGCTTTGAATCAAATTCATATCATACTTTTATATTAATTATTATTATGTATTATCATTGGCGTTTCTTACATTTTATTGTATGTGACATCGTGTATTCGATCCGTTTTATACGAAATTTTTCAAACTTTCTTTTGGTGTAAAAATGAAAAAAAAAAGAAAACAGTCATAATCAGAAATTTAGAGTCGCAGACATTCTTGAAAAAGATAATTCAACTCAACTTCAACTTATAACTGACTCAGATATTGCAGGACTATCTCCTTCTCTTAAACAAACGCACTATGGCCAATTACAAATATATTTTTTTTAAAAGTCAGGCAGCAACAAATCAAACGTCTATGATTGATAATCAATTACTCTTTTCATTGTGATTGCTGCTATTTTCATATCTTTTATATATAGATTCCTAGCAATATGTAATTAAGGCCAATACAATAAATAATTATATACAAAGAATATAGTTGTATGTTAAATAACGCATAGCAAACTTTGGTTTCGGTTGAAACCTGTCGTATTACGACTGTTTTACTCCTGACAAGGCCAAACTGTATCTTAAACAATAGTCAAAATAACCTTTGTATTATTGATGTGTGGATAAAAATGGGGTTATATGTAAAAAAACAGATTTTAAAGAGAAAGAATATGAGATGGATTCAATCCAATGGAAAACATAGAACTCACAACTTCCTTAGGGATGCTTTTATTGCTGTTCTTCATACTAACAGTTTTTGGAAGGCCTTCAAAAAATCAAGCTAAACACGGTAATTTATGTTAGAGTGAGAATATTATGTTCTCTGATTTGATCCTTATCGGTAATGGTGGGTCTTGATTCTGTGCTGGTGGGTTTGTGAACATGATATCAGAATGACAATAACCTTTCTGTTGATTACTTTTCACCAATACCGTATTCGTGAAGTATATTATAACGTTTTTAAATTGCAAAAAAAATATGTTCATTTCATACATGGTTTTTAAGGAAGACCAAAAGAAAGCTGGTATTATCGTTTTGTAACGTCACATCAAGCTCTTTAATTGATGCCCGTTCACTGAATAATTCAAACTTAAATGACTATCTTGATCGCATCAATCTCAATGAACTTGAAATTAAGGACACCAAAGATACAGTAGAGGCGGCTTCATATTTTGATTTACATCTAAAAATCAACATAGAGGGTTGGTTGAGAACTAATCTGATGATTTGATTTCCTAATTGTAAACCATCCATGTCTACGTAGCAACATTCGAGCAGTATCACAGTTGAAGCTATAACCTAGAATTTGCGTTTCCTATCATAACAAAAAAATGGTTGCTCCTTACAGTGAAGTTATGGAACCACTGGATCAAATGTAAAGTTGAAATAATCACTTCGGAAGTTGTATAGATACCATGATGATTTATAGACTATCAATGTCACAGATTACCACGGATATATATGTTCCACTTGTCGTCGACACAAGCAAGTCCCATTTTCCTCGATTGTGACATCATCGAATATTACTGACCACTTTCAGTCTAGCAATACTAGGGGAATAAAATATTGCACTCTGGATGACATATAACTGAACCTGATTATCTGCGAATTTTTAATTTATTGTTTATTAAACGGATGCCACTACCCTTTTTCAAAAATGACTTCACCTTTATTTTCGTGAGGTTAGTGATTCTAAATACTCAATTTTCTATGTAATACTCTCGGAACTCTGTAAATGGTTGTCTTTCATCGTTTTACATTGTAGTCTTTTATTGTGTGATTTAATGCACTATGTGATCTTAATTGTTCTACACAAATTATGTTGGAACAATACATTTAACTGTTTGAAAAATTGCTTTAATTTTGCACCGTAACATACACTGAATAAACTGGAAGTAGCTATTGTAAATCTGCCTTTTTACATCGAAAATTCCTACATACATGTATGTAATGTAATCCTAAGATTTAGTATATGGCATCGACAGAATAAACTAGAAAAGGCTGAGAAATTACATGACATCTCAGGGATGTATTTTTTGTAACGAATAAATAAATTATTTCAAACTATTGAACAGCGATATACTTCTGTTGCCTTTATTTATGTTCAGATTCATTGTAAATCAAATGTATTAATTTGAGACTGATCGATAATCAATGAGCAATGTTATATTTTTTATAAGAAGGAGCAGAATAACATAATTACATTATATTCAAATTATTTGCTTTCGTATCAGAAAAACATAATCCAAAGAACAAACAAAACAAAATAAACCAAATCAAAACGAAAAAACAAACAAGTGAGAGAAAAACACACGAGTATTGAGTATTATTTGCATGAGTCAAGGGCTGTCAAACAAAACTTTTTGCGCTAGCAAACATTCTTAACCATGCCACATTCTGTATGTACCTGTACATATTTGTTTTTCGTAAATTGTTTTGTTATATATTGGGCGGTTAGTTTTCTAAATTGAATTGTTTCATGTTTGGGCCTTTTATAGCCGTCTTTACGGTATGGGTTTTTCTCATTGTTGAATGTCGTACGGTTACTTATAATTGGTTACATCCACTTCTTTTGTACTTTGGTGGATAGTTATCTCATTGGCAATTACACTACATCTCCTTATTTTTATATTAACAACACGTAGTTGATTTGTTGTTTCTTGTTGATGAGGGAAAATAGTACAAGCATGCATATTCATGAAGAGAAGATGTCTGATACAAATCATAGTATGTATCTTCTGACAGCAGGCTTGCTGATTTGTAAACATGATAAAATTCTCCCTCTATACATGATTACTTTGTATATAAGGCATATTAAAAAAAAGGGATTCTGTTTTACATTTCTGACCATGATTGCCATGACTCTGGTGTATTAATTTTTTCTCGTATTCAAACGTAGAATAAAAGAAATAGAGATGCAATATATAATATTTTAATGTGAGCTTTTGACACCCTATACATAACTTGGGCAAATCATATTGGAAAATGATTTCGTTCTATGTTGAAATTAGAGGAAAGCTATGTGATTTCGAGACACAAAAAATCAGGTATAAAAGATTATTACAAATTTATCAGTTATCATTGTTTTGTATAGTTTCTTACATTTACATTAATATACCTTTCAGCAAATGTAGAGGCTTGTTTCTTTTATTACATATTCCAATATAAAAGGATATCGCTGTATTGAGCATTTGTTAAACACTTATGAAGTTACCAAGGGGGATATCTGTAATGGTAAATTAAAAACAAAACACAAACAAAACACAACATGACACAGTCAAACAAATAGCACAGTTAAGTTAATCCAGTTTTTGAAGGAATATCGGTAGATGTCACTCATTTAAATTATATACAATAGCAATATATAAAACATTGTTTCATGCAAATTCATTCATTCTACGAAATGTCCGATTGGGAAAGTTGAAGATGAAAATATCGGTCGAGAAAATGACAAAACAAATACAAAACAAAAACATAACAGCACATACATGTACAATGTTAAATAAAATAACTCGAAAACATGTATATCATATAAGGACAAGCATACAAATGTCAATGAATGTCCAGGTAAACTTTGTTGTGTTACGAAAGTGTAAATTGTTCCCGATGCAATGTCATGGTTGAAGAAAGAATGAAGACGTTGTTTTATTAAACGCAATAATGAACATATTGCATTCACTTCATTTGAACACTGGTGGATAGTTTTCTCATTGGCAATCTCTTCAATTTTTTTTTATAATAACATGGTTCTGTGGCGCAAATTTTCCTTAACGGCCAAAATCAGATCAAATGACAACTAAAATTCTTTCCATTTTATGGAATTTTTGTTCTTATTAATAGAGGAAATTCGGATAGGAAGTACAAGCTGTTAAATGTTATGTTAACTGGGGGATAAATGCCATATATGCTCATTATAAGTTAGCATTATTTGAACTTTTGATAGATAATTGTCTCATTGGCAATCATATCAATGGGTCGAGGGTCATAATAATGTGGAAGGGAACATAGAAGCGGATTCACTAGCAAAAGCAGGAATTAGTAATAATTCATCACATTGGCAACGTATGGCCTCAATAGATAAAATTGCTGAGGTATGTGTAAATGAAATCAAACAAATTGACGAGTGTAATAGTATAGAAGTTGAAGTTTTAGTAGATGATAAAGCAAAATCCCATTGTTCATTATGTAAAAATTCTGTGGATGAGATCGGAATAAGGTGTGTACATTGTAAAGGTTATATCATTATATTAGCACTTTCTTACCAACTTATCAGTTGTATTTGTTTGTAAATTCGCAAAGAAAATTTGCGTATGAAAAGTGGTCTGGTGTTACAAATTTCTTTATTGTAAACAATAAGCTTGATCAAAATAATTGTTCAAATTGGAATTCAGTGTGAGCTTGTACAGGAAGAGGGATTAAAAAGTAAACCAGTTTGATCTAAAAATCTGAAAAACAAATTTGCTAAAATATGTCTAACTAAAAAGAATTAAGTACCAAAACACCGAGTGAATCGGAAAATAACAGTATCAATGTAGAAGAGTCCCGCTTTGAGAATCATATGTTATCTATGCAATAAAAATTCTTAGATATTTTAAATAAGATCACTGAAGCACACGATAAAAGAAATCAATTAGAACAGAAATTTGAATTAGTATTAACACAAAAAAAAAACTTAGAGAAAAAGTTAAGAGCCAAGGAAGCCAAATTTGAGGAGAAATCTCTGTGATATTATGTACAAACTTCGAGCAAGAGGTAAATAAATGTCGACAAGAGAAAAACAGTTTACAAAGTAAACAATTATGCAGATTTATTTTTAGAATGAAAAGTAGACGTAGTTAAATACGAAACTGAAATTAAAATTAAAAAAAAAAGATGGATTGTATTAACAGTGAAATCAAAGTTCTGTCAACTCAAATTAAACAGTACGAAGAAAGGTTCCATTGTAAAGATATATCTTTATTAGGGCCCCATTGAATGGCGGACGCCCTATAGTGATCAGTCTGTCCTTCCGTCTGTCCGTCTGTCTGTCCGTCCGTCCGTAACAAATTGTGACCGCTCTATATCTAGAGAATCGTTATGATTTCAAAGTTTATACTTGACATGTATATTAACTAACACCAGAGGGTGTGTCATAATGTATGTACAACTTCCTAGGGAAAAGGTCAAGGTCAAAAACTTTGGTTTCAGTTGA